AATAATAACAAATTGTACATGAGATGACAAATGAGCAGCAAATTGTTTCATCCTGGAAGACAGATATCACAGAACCTGGTGAGTGACATTGGCGTCCTTCAGTACAAATGTGCAATGATTTCTCCAGCTAGTATTTTCATATCTGGTGGTTTTATTTTTTAAAAAAATACTAAACCTTTGTTTGATTTTCCTGTTCTTTTCTGAACTTTGATCAAACAATCCCACAGTTTGGCAAACTGGCTTATAAGGTACTAGAAGGATGAAAAGTAAACTTTCCAGCTTGTCTAAATGGATCGTGGAAACAGAACATTTCAATAGCTCTTCATTTGCTTTCTTGCTTGCTACCAGAAAATTCATGGCTGTTACAAGAAATATTTATTCGTAGGGAGCTTGTTTTATGTTATTTCACCTATCCCCTGTCTATTAAATCAAATGGATGTAATTCACCGTTGGAATCTGCAGAGCCTTGCCCCGCAGCACGCGGTGATATAAAGCTGGGGGAGGGGTGAGCGCAGCGCCTGAAAGAGCAACAGGAAAAGATGGTTGGAAATGCTCTCCTCATCACAAATACGTGTCTTCAATATTTAGTTGTTGTGGCAGGAAAACGCCAACAAATACATGAACTGTAAACCATCTGGCTTGAAATATGTTCAAATATGAATGTTCATCTTGAAAAATGAAATCTATGGAATTCTGGCATCCACTTTGACTTTTGAGAGATGAACAGCTTGGATATGCAAAGAAGGGATTTCTAGACTAGCCTTCTTAAACTTTAAATTTTCCTGAACTCAGAAGTTAAATGATTCACTGCCTAAAAAGGAAAACTTCCCTTTCACTTTTAAACTTTAATGAAAACCATTGACTGGAAATCCCTGCAACTGCATCTATGTAGGGCTTTGTATGGAATTGCCTCTTGTGTCGAGAAGCAGAGAAATGAACATGGTTCTCTATTTATTATTTAACATTTACAGAGTTCCAGTGTATGCTAGACACAATATAAAACATTTAAAGAGCATGATAATCCTGGCTTTCACCAAATTTCTAAATCAGAAAGTTAAAACTGGCAATACAGGAGATTTTGAACTGTGTCACTTAGTTTGGGGTAAGAAAGGATGAATTAGTCACCCTGTTCTCTTATGTACTGGGACCTCAGGTATCAGTGCCCTGCAAGAAGTATCTCTCCAAACGACTGCAAGAAGGGTTTTAGAGGACTTAAATGGAAAGAAGAAATGTGTTGCAAATATAAGTGAGCAATGAGGAAGATGAAGTCAGAAGAATGAAAAACGCAAACAAAGCTCAGAAGTTCTGAGTTTAGCAGACAAGCCCAGAAGTGGCCACAAGAAGAGGACTGGAGGCAGGGGTATTTTTTCCTTGCTGTTTGATGTTTTTGGAGCATTAAAATGATTCTTTGAGAGACTCAGAAATTCAAACTTGCTTTCCTCCTTCTCTTCTTCACACTATATATTTTTTGACAAAATCCAGCTTAATCCACCTCCTCTGAAGAATTCTCCCCAGAGTAAGTCCCCCACTTGGATCTCTTCATGCTACAGGAGCACCAGGTATGCCCTCATCTTTAAATAATCCTTTAGTTGTTGCACGCGTACCTGTCACCACCCAACTGCACCATCATAAGCTTCTAAATATAGAAGCCAAACTTCTAATACCCGGTGTGCCCGGGATTGTGTGATGCATGCAATGGTCTCAAAGGATTCACTGGAGATTGTAAGACTTGGATGAATGAATGAATCATGCCCCAGGTGGGGGAAAAAGGCTTAACTGGGTAATGTTAACTAAGTTTGTGACACAGCCATTTTAAAATGATGTTAAGAGAACAAAATGTTTCCCGAAATAAAAACACTATACACTTAATTCAGCAGAAGCTAGGATATTGGTGATAAATTTAATTAAATCTTACTTAAAAATCAGATATATTTTAATGCATGGACTTTCATAACTTTTTTCTTTTTTTCTGCTTTTCCTTTCAAAAATAAAATTTATCCAATATATGATTTATCCAATATAATTGTGTAATTATCACAATAAATGCTCCTCAAAATAGCCATGTAAAGATTTGGGGTTATATGTGTTTTTATGTGTATATATATTGGGTTTTTTCTTTGTTTTTTCATCCACTTTTACTTTAATACTTAGATGTTTATAAATACTTTTAGGAAAAGTGAGAAATAAATCACATTTTAGAAATAAGGATGGAACATGTAAAGATTAATTTTTAAACCTAAACCTTTAAATTTTATTTTTTGTAGTATTAGAAATATACTAAGCAGTTAACAGGAAAAGTGACCATACATTATTATTCAGCAATAAATATCTCTCATTTGTAATACTGTATGAAGAGTACAGAAGGCTAGAAAATTTCAACTCATCCTCACACTCATTGAATCTAAAATAGAAGAGATAGTCTAAAATTCTAGATGTATTCTCTCTGAATTAATTTTTATAACCCAGCTGAATACAGCCTCTAAGATATGTAAATCCTAAACACTTCAGAAATAACAAATCATTTCATTGTGGGAGATTATTGGCTTAAAGAAATGAACATAAAGACTTTACATCTTTATATTGCTCACGGTGAAGGAAGCTACCAAAGATATTTTACTAACTGCACTCTAATCTCAGGTTAATGCTGCCAAAATACCTGTGCCTTTGTATATTTCTAGAGGTGAAAATTCCTTAAAAAAAAAAAGTCTTTTTCTAAGAAGAAGTAAATTCACTAAATATTTTACTGTCCAATCCAAGACTTCTCCAAAAGAGGCATCATCTTGCTTCAGTGTGAGTATGTATGAACGTGTTTAATGTGTGTGTGTGTGTGTGTGTGTGTGTGTGTGTGTGTGTGTGTGTGTCAGGAGAACTGGAGGTGGAGGAGGAACGGGACTGACTCTGTGAGGCCGGAATTATGATTAGTCCCATTTAACGAATGTGCAATATGAGACTCAAAAGAGGTAACTCACAGTCAAGGGTCAGTGGCAAGTCCAAAGCTCATCTGTTCATCGAAATACTTCCCCAGGTTGTCAGGAGGCAGAGGGAGCAAGCGGGAAGCACGGGCCAGAGCCTTTACTGTGGCTTTCATGGGAAGAAAGTCACAAGGCTTAGGACTAGACAGTTTGAATGATTTTGGCAGGCCCTGGGGTATAGGGGTGGCCAGTCCCTAGTTGTCCAGTACCTGGCCTTCAGGTGACTTAGGGCAGGGGGAATGTTGGCTCTTTTAGAGTTTGGTAAGCAAGGCGGTTGGGAGTATGGACTCAGGATTCTTTGGTTTAATATAAGTGCTCACAGTCAAGTTGTTAGCTGTCACTAGGAATTAGCCAACTACCCTAACTTGGGCAGTTCCTCTCCAAGACTGCAAGGCCCCAAGATATCAAAGCATCACAAAATGTAGCGGGGAAAATGTGATTAATACAATAAGATAACTTATTTATCCTTTTTTTTTTTTTTTTTAGATGGAGTCTCACTATGTTGCCCAGACTAGACTTGAACTCCTGGGCTCAAGGAATCCCCTCACCTCAGCTCCCATGCAGCTGGGATCACAGGTATGAGCCACTGTGCCCAGCCCACTTTTCTGTAATTCATTAGCATTATGTGGAGATAGTACATTTAATCACTTATAACGACATATTTATTTATAATTAATAAATTAATTTCTATAACTTAAATGTGTCCAATTTGTAAAAATATATTAATAGTTTATATCTATACATTGCATATGTTTTGACACATAAATCCATAAATAAATATTTCATAAAGGAAGTGGTATAAAGTAATTGTTAAAAATGAAGATGCTAAAGTCAGAGAGAACTGGACTGAAGTCCCAGTTACTCCTACTGCAAGTTACTGTTTTTGAGCTTGTTTCCATCTTTCTGTAATAGGGCTTGTAATATCTACCCGACAGAGCCAATGTATGATTTAGTTGGACAATATTTGAAAAATCCTTAACGTGGTACCTGGATAAATATAAGTCAATGAATATTCACAATTCTTATTCTTACCAGGTTTTTTGAATGTTTTAATTCTTTTAGGACAACTGAACAGATCTATCACATGACAACATAGAAAGCTTAGGCAATTATCCAAATGATTTGAATCTCCTCCCACTTTCATCTTAATTGTTTAAAAATCTTAAATAAAATATTTGGGCCAGAACTAGCCAGAAAATTTCTTCAATTGGGACAATTTTGCTTACCAGAGTGTGCAGTCACAGTCATATTTAACAACTATGACTTACACAAAAATCAGAGAAGGAACAGGCTACCATGCAACCACTCCTGGGATCACTAGGGATGAAAGGATATTCTCCCTTGCCTCATGGGTGTATTAAGTGGGATTAGAAAAAAAAGAGAGAGATTTATTCCATCAATCCTACAAAAAAAAAAGTTCATTTTTTATAGTCACAATTTTAGATTCATGAGTTTCTATCTGTGGTATTTTTAGAATCATTTTTTTTTCTTCCCCATCTTCTTGAAGACTGTTTAATTCATATTTATTTAGCCCTCACACTATGTCTTCTATAGAGAGCTTTTTTGAAAGCAGGGGAAAAGGAAGTAAAGAAGTAAAAGTAAACAAAGTAGAGAAAGCTTGAGAGCAAGTGCTTTGCTGTATGCAGCCTTCAGCAGTTAGGTTATTTCTCAAATTTACATAAAGACTTATTATCATCTTGACTGCAATCATGTAGAAAATGAATGAGGTATAAAGTACATGAGGACAATTTAATAAAACCAGCTTTCTTTTATTATAAAATCTTTGAAGAAAGGAATCATTAGACAGAGACTTGCCTTGTATTTACCCAGGTCATGAGGCATGTCAGCTTGGTGATGTGCCTTTGGCAAGAAGTCCTTAATTAGAAATTCCTCAAGAGCTGCTCCCAGTAGGTACATCCTAAGACAAAAAGACAAAACAATTTAGTACAGAAGCCTGACTAAGGACCCAACATCCAGGCTCAGGTGAATGAAAGGAATAACTTGCTGATAGCAAAAGAGAAAAGTGTCATGATGGGGTGCTGGATTTTGCACGAGGGTCTCACCATCATATTAGTAGTAAGTATCATTTTTGTTATTCACCTTTAAATACATAGATTGAATAGTCTTTGATTTTTAGGATAACTTGTATAGGAATACTAAATAGCTTGAAGTATTACTCTAGTCAAAAGACTAAAACTTGTTAGAAAACATTCAGTTGATATATTTAATTTACCCTTATAGAATCATGCAAAGTTGTTTTCCGATTGAGTTCATTTTTAATTATTTTTAAAGTCAAGTGGTCTGTTTTCGCATAATGTATGAATGTTTCCCTAAGTCAAATGAAGTCTTTGAATTAGACTATGAAATTGGAATTTTTCTAGAGTACTCTCTGAGTTGTTTTTAGAGATTTCCTCCTTCTTGACATCATTGTCAAGCAATGTTGATTAAGAAGGTTTTGCGATTTCATTAAATTACTTAAAATTGTGTTTAAAATCTTTTTTGTAAAGTTAATAATTTCTTACCATTATAATCACTGTTAAAAACTAGTCTATGGGAAATAAATATATGGAGTAATTCTGATTAATATTGAGAAGTTCTTCATTTCACTTTAAAAGAAGAACCCCAATGATTTGGAACAGAAGAAAAAGTTGAAGATAGTATTGATTGGTTCTCTTTTTGTTCTACTCTAGCTCTCATGGCTGGGAGTGAATTTATATCTGTTTATTGACACATTCTGTTGGTATGAAGAGGAGGAGTCTTTCCATTATACACGAGCTATTTTGGGTGTAAGTACAGTTGGTGATTAAACATTATTGTTTCAGAAAACAAAATGCATTTTATTTTCCCTGGCATCCTTGTTTTCACTGTATCTCTTTTTTGTGTCTTTACCTATGGACAGTCAACACTGGCTTGGGCCCGAGCATCTGCATTGTGCCTGAATTTTAACTGCATGCTAATTCTACTACCTATCAGTCGAAACCTTATTTCATTCGTTAGAGGAACAAGCATCGTAAGTACTAAAATATTTGAAATAATTTTAGTTGTTGTCACTTCCTAATATAAGTGCCATTGAAAACAAAGATGTACTTTACTGTGATATTCCCAGCAATCCTGTTAAAATTTAGGTTTGTTTATTTGTAAGACAGAACAGAATGGCTAAAACCGAACATCAGTAATCTGCCCATCTGATTTGACTTTTGCTTTTGCCATTGACTTCTTACATGGTATTGGACTCATTGTACAATCCTTTCCTGATGCACTTGCTCCATTGAAGGAAGCATTATAACAGCTTGAACTATACCATTTCTGATTGAGAGAAGACAGATAAACAGTTGAGAAAAATGCCACTCAGGAAACATCTGAGTTCTCACCCCCAGAAAGCACAATCACAGTATATAGACTTTAGCGTGTAGACTTTAACACCTACGTTTCCTAATTGTATTGACTTCACTGTTTGGGGTACTTACCTGTGCTTCCAGTTAAATAGAATAACACACAGAAAATGAGACCCTCATTAACTTTTACCAGATAAAATAATTTATTATATAAGCATACCTCATTTATTGCTCTTCACTTTATTGTACTTCGAAGATATTTCATTTTTTTCAAATTAAATGTTTGAGGCAACCTTGTGTCAAGCAAATCTATTGGCACCATTTGTCCAATAGCACATTCTTACTTTGTGTCTCCATGTCAGTATTTTTTTAACAATTTTTTTAAATTAAGGTATGTACTTTTTTGTGCAAACATAACTTTTATATGCACTGGGAAACAGAGAAATTTGTGTAATTCACTTTATTACAATATTTGCTTTATTGTGGTGGTCTGGAATAGAACCCGCAATGTCTCTGAGGTATGCCCACATAAAATCACCATTGTGATTTTATGAATACTTACTTATAGATGCATATAGTGTCTTTCTCTGTGTAATAAGGAAAAATTTACAGACTCCTTAAACTACATAGATGAGGATGATGGCTATCACCTTTCATTTTCTAAACAAAGAAGCTATGTGAGATATGGATATTAGCAGGTTTATTTAAGAGTCTTGAGTTATAGCCAGAGAACAACTAATTCAATCATTTTTGAGTTGAACCTTCCACAAAGCAAATAATAACCTTTTCTTTTGCCAGTTTGACTAGCGGTCACTAACTTTTGTATCGCATAGCCTCACTTTAAGCAATTTAGAGGCAAAGCCTGAGTCCTAATCTCTTAACTCTCATAATACTGTTATCACCGTGATTTTTCCCTAAATCAGGCTTTTGTTGTTGTTGTTACTCTAGTGCTGCAGAGGACCATGGAGGAGGCAATTAGACAAAAACCTCAAATTTCACAAACTGGTTGCCTATGGGATAGCTGTTAATGCGAGTAAGTACTTATTAACTGCTTGGTGGATTTCAATATCTCCAACGTTTAACTTTATAGTTTTGTGTAACCTCACCACACCCCAAGTCTCACCCTTAGGTAAAAGAAACCTTTGCCCTTCGTCTGCCCATGTAAACCTTATACAAATGAATTTTATAATTTCCAAGCTTCTCTTTGTCAAAGAGAAGTTGGTGAACCTTCATCGTCACTTGTGAATAGTTAGGCTTGTTGATAATACAACGATAAATACCCACTTGAAAAATGAACACTTTGTTATTCAATATAATTCACAATGAAAATAAAATTGACCTATGCTCAAAATATCATTCACAGTAGTAGGGAAATGACTATCAAATGACTATCACTGGCAGTGAAAAGAAGGAGGAAAAAAACAATCATGTGAACAAGGTTCTGAATAGTATTGAACTAGAGAATATAAAAGGATCTTTAAAGGTATGAAGCTTTATAGGCATACAAAGTGTTATTGTTATTATTATATTTCTAATTCAAGAGGAAGGCACTAGAATTAGCATCCAAAGCCAAGGTTAAACTCTGGTGGGGAAGAAAGGAAAAGGGGCAATGATCAACTGGCTGGTGGTTTTGCTGGAAAACAAAGACACTGAAATAAAAGGCTATCTGAACAATAAAGAGTTATGATTCAGGACTGTTTCTCTCAAACTAATTTAACTATAAAATGTTCTCCTCATTTGTTTTTATCCTCTCATGCATAAAAAATAGCAGAGTAAAAGGAACACTCAAAACAAATGTGAATTTAATTAAGCAACAAGACATGACAGACGGTGCCCAAGTGCCAATTAACACAACTTTGGGTGTGCAGTGAGAAACGAGGGGAAGATTCTCCCCATTGATTGTCTTCAACGCCAGATTAAACCAACCCAGAAATGCTTTGCAAAAGGGCTTTGCGGTTTGTTAAGAAATAAGGGTAAAAAGACATCATGTCCTAGAGAAAGCCAGCTAAGGGACAGAAGGCAAAGAACAAGAACACTTCATCTCTGTATTCCAGGGTCCACACAGTGCTGAGTATGCACAAGTGCCAATAACCCTTGATGAATGAGAGAATGCATGAAGAAATAAAGACTCAGGGAAGCAGATCTCAGCTCAGAAACAGAAATCTTTTCCAGACCTTGAAAGTTATCTTAAATAAGAATGAAGGTCCCCTAAGAGTAGTGAGTTCCCCATCGTGTGCTGGTGTCCAAGCGGAGGTCAGATTGCTCCTTGGTAGGCTCATTAGAGAAGGAGTTCAAAGAATCTCTAGGATTCCTTTAAAATCTTAAGTATGCTTAATTCCGGAATAACACAGTAAAATGGCAAGAAAATATTAACGCCATATAATAGCTGTAAGGCAGAATTGGACTCTATGAGAAAGTAATAAAGACATTATAGAGAAAGGGAGGGAAACAGCATTAAAATACATCAAAAAAGGAAGCATTGGATAAAGAAAAAATATGTTATGAAATAGTTTTCTCCTTAAACCTTTGGGTATGTATAGTTCCTCATATGTAATCATATGCATTAGTAATGTATATTGAATGTCTCCCATGCGCAAGACTCCCTGAGAGCAGCTATAACTTTCTGAAACTAGCATGGTCAGTGCTGTTTTAGGAATGGAGTATAATTTAGCATGGGCAGTGGCTGGCTAAAAGCAGTTGGCCGAGTTATTTCATACCCCTGCTACTGATCGGTTGTGTGATCTCAGTAAATTCCTCGTGCCCTTTCCTCTGCGGAATTCAAAGAACAGTAATACAATCTATCCGTCTCCATGAGATGTGCAGATTGCAGATTATCGTCAGGACTGGACCTAGTTGGAAATTTGCATAATGCAAGGTCATTCACTTGGTGCAAATAACATCAAATAACATCAAATCCGAGCTCCTCAGAGTGGTCCCCTGCTCCATACACGTCTCATCTCCCACCGCACCCCCCTTGCTTTCTCCCCTTGGGCAACATCAGTTGCTAGAGTCCCTGCGTGTCCTGTCCCTTTGCCTGAACTGCTCTCACTCTCCTTCGTCATGCTCACGAGGTGGGACATCAGGACATCACTGTATCCAGGTCTCATTGCCAGGTCCTCACCTTCCCAACACAGCCACCTCCCCGACAGGTCTAAAGTCACACATTCTACCACGCGGTGAAATTCCTCAGACTCTGATCGCCTCCAGGACTGAGGCTGTGCCTTACACATTCTTGGCTTGTCTTTTCTGGTCCCTAACACAAGAGGTCTTCAACAAATTTGGTCAGATCTGAGGATGAATAGGAGTTGGCCGCAGGCAAGAGAGGGCAAAGGAACTCCCGGGAAAGGCACAGGACTCAAGTGCATGAGCCGTTCAGGGAGCTATGAGCAGTCTGGGGTGGACAAAACAGAATGTGGGGAGTGAAGAGATTCAAATGATGCCAGTCGTCCAAGATAATACATTCACATTCAGCTGCAACAAGAGAAAACAGGGTGTTTTTTCTCCCTCTTTCCCTCACACATCCCTGAAGAGAATCAAGTATTCTCTCCAGCCCCTTTCCTCCTGGACCCCCGCTGCTTTGCCAGGCTCCCAGACATCTCCTGGGGCTCCCGCGGCAGGGTCAAAGCGCCCTCGTCCCACACCTCCATGGCAACCAGCAGCGCTGCTGTTGTTTCCACTCCAGGCAAAGGCAGGAGAGTGGGAAGAAAGCTCTCTGCTTCTCCCAGACCCTGACAAAGCAATTACTACATTTCACATTACTAAAGAAATGTGGCTGGCAACTGCGCTTTTAGGGAGACAAAAATGCTAAGCCTGGTTTCATAGATACACCTTTGCTTTTCCCATTTTGTCCTTCTCGTTAATTCACTTGGGAGCAGCTGAAAATGTCCCTGTGCTTATTTTATTAGCATCGCCCATTATGCTGCATTTCAAATAGCCGACTGGCTTAATAGAGGTGTGTAACCTTGGAAGAAGCACATCGAAGTTTGCGTGCCAGCCTCTAATTTCTCATCCGTTCCCCTATAAGTTGCATTGCAGGCTTTAATTGGTCAAATCATTAAAGGATGTAATTAGAGACGGGTGGAAGTAGGCTAGGGAGGAGGAGGGAAGAGACAAAACAATCGTATCTATAATCAAGGACATCATGGAAAATGCAGTGATGGGAACTCTTCTTCTTTTGGCTTCCTGCCTTCCTGCTTGCCTGCCTATGACAAGAGCTGCCAGAGCATTCTTCGACCACTAATAAATCATTTTCAGGGACCTACAACCCCACTGGTATAAAAATCATAGTTTCACAGTCTCTCCATTCTTATAATCTGGATCCTTCTGGATCCCAGGTCCACAGTAGACTTTGAAGACCCTTCCAATTGAAAAGTAGTACTGTGAGCCCGAGCTTCCATCAAAGGGTGCTGTAAATAGCGAGCTAGGCAGCTCTCTCAGCAAATTGCATGGCTTGCACCTGCTAGGTTTTAGGGGTATAGAATTACCCCCCATTGCAGCTCCTGGTGAGTTGCTAAAATTAGCTTACAAACATCAATAAACATAACATGTACGGTAAGAGGAGAGAGCGCAGAATAAGGATATTGAGAAAATAAAGATTTAGAGACCTTGGAGTTGAGGATAGCCCAAAGGCACAAACTCTGCAGGTCCCTAACCCTTAGGGAATTTCTAGGGACCAGTTCTGCCTGAGGCACTGTGAGCTCCAGGGAGGCTCCACCCCCAGTCCCGCCTAACAGGATTTAATGGGATTTACAAACGTGTGGCACACACGGGGTACCAGAGTCAACGAGCCTTCCTACAGAAATCAGACCACAAATTTGAAAGTTTGTGGCCAAATTCTGGCTGCAGAACCAAGCCAGGATTTGTCCCTGGGTCCGTGTTTCTAAAGGCTGCTTACTTAGGAGGTGACTAACTCCAAAATGACTGTTATCACTGAGAGGCAGGCAGAATGACAGCAATAACTGACCACGCTTCCAAGATTCCCCTCAATTATGCTTCCTTTGATCTCCTGAAAAATAAAATGAAAGGAAGAAAGAAGGAAAAGGAACTTTCTCAGGGCAACTGGCTCTAATTGTAGCCTTTGTAATTTTTTTGTTCACTCTTCAATGAAATCTCCTTATTTGAACTCAGAAGTTCACACATCAATTAAATGTGCATGTGCAGTGTTTCCAAAATCGCTGCTCTCTTAAAAGTACTTTGAGGAGAACATAAAATTGTGGAAAGATCCAGCACCTTTAGCCTGGCACAACTGGGTGGGTTATGGAAACGTGTATATTGGGCTCCTCCGAGGGCACAGCCGCGTGTACCATAGAAAGTCCACAGAGGTACCAGGAAGTACTCACCAGCATAGCAGATGGCACTGGATTGACCTCAAGACTGAGAAGCCTCATTTAAGCCAGTGTTGATTTGTTGATTTTGAAAACATATTAAAATAAGTTTCATGTCTGAATTACTTCCACATTGATCTACAAATCCCTTTCAATGATAAATGTTCCTAGTTAACTTCAGAGGAAGACACAGGAGCCACTCAGCTGGTAGTTTAATCCAATCTAGCCATTTCACAGATGAGAAAACAGAGACTGAAAGAAGTAACTGAAAATATCCTCTTCAGTATTCTTTCTGCTACATACTAACACTATATAATCTAGTAGCATGAATGACGTTGATGACTAAGAGAGAGAAAAATCAAACCATATGACTATTTTGTCACCTATCAGAAGCAACTGTCACTGTAACATAGATATGGCCACTCACATTAAAAAACTAAAATGTATAAAGAAAAACTATATAATTTCTAAAAAAGAACAAAAACAGCATCTCCTCTGGATTCTATCAAGTCCCAAGAGTCCTAAATTTAGCAGCTGGTATATCTTTAGTTCCCAGCCGAGATCACTGTAAAATTAGGACCAGATCTAAGAAGAAAATAAAATCTTTAGACAAACAAAACGGGCCTAAGCAGTTTTCTCTCTGAGAATTCCTGAGATAAATAAAATATTCCACTTTTTATCTTCTACCTTGTGAAAAGAAAACAAAATGGAGGAAGCTGGAGCAAAGGAATATTTAAGACATGAATTTTAAAGCACATGAAAAATACCGGAGAGAATAGTTTTCAACACATACCCTCCGGAGCTACCTCTTGAAGAGTGTCTTGGGCTTTCTTATACTACTTCATTAGTTCCTTCAGCTCTGTATAGGAGACCTCGCAATCAGAACAAATATCTTTGTTCACTCGATCAACACACTTAAATTTAGTTCAATGGTGTCAAATTCTCATGTGGAAATCAATCTAATAGAAAACAGATTGTGATCAACAACTCATTACATGGAAGAATGTTATAAAATATAGAATGATATGAAAGAGAATTTATCCTGCATTCTCTTTCTATTACACATGTATTATGCAATGGTAAATAAGTCATTTAATTTGGTTAGAAGCTCAGTTTCTATTTCTGTAAATTGGGAACAGCTCCACTGCCTGCCTGGGGGGAAGATGAAGGAAAGCCGGAACAGAGGGGTGGGGGTTCAGGGGTGCAGTGTAAAAGGAGCATGTATGCCAGCCTGCAACGAGGACCCCGATGTCACAATCAGTCAAAGCCTTAGGAACAGCTGGACTCTAGATTAAAGACACCACATGAACCATTCATAGAGTTTTACTGAAGCCCATAGGAGAAACTAGTTTTGAGTAAACAGTAAGGTGTAACAATCATTGATTAGTAAGAAGCAATACAGCTTATAAAGCAAAAGATGGGGCACTCCAGTCCACAAGCAGGGTTTTATCCCTCCTTCCTCATTAATGGACTACCAATTCCTTAACTCTTTGAATACTGGTCTGTACAACGGGAGTAAGACTAGTACCTGAGGATTAAATCAGATGATATGCCTACCGCATTTATAATAGTGTCTGGTGTATAGTAAAAATTTGATATATGTTAGCTATGAGAAGTATTACCTGTTTTTTAAAGAATTTGAAATAATTATCAGAAAACAGCAATTAGGAATACTGAATAGTATTTGTGTTTAATTTAGCAAACGGTTCCCGTTTTATGTAGAGCATATTGGAAAAGAATGCTGCTAGATAAGCCTTTCTGGCTTTCTGGATGCTGAGACTAAACAAGGCAGCCCTTTCATAGACATGGCTGCATATGTTGACTAAATTCCTAAGGTGGAAATACACCACTACCTCTTGGGTGCTAACCTCACCGGACCCATAAGGAGGCAGTACACATCACAGATGCAGAAATATCACCACGTGCTTTGCCTTCTTAGGTATGCCTCAACTAAAAGCATATTTGACTTGATTTTCAACTTAAAGGCTGAAAAAAATTGTGTAAAAAATGTATATATCAGCAGAGAAAACACCACTCCAACAGGTTTGCGTCTATAGGTTGATTTCCTGTCCCTTTGTTTACCCCTTCTGCCTTTCTGTAATCTCATTGTCACTTAACAAATAATTATTAAATACTAACTGGTGCTAAACAACGTGCCAGGTGCTGAGGTTTCAGGATGAATAAAGTCCATCCTTGAGGAGTCAAAGTCCATCGGGGGGGTGCAGGTATAAATAAATACCTATAGCAATAATAGAAAACAACTTTTGAATTGGGTCACAAAGCATGAATAGAACTTTGCAAGTCAGAAAAGAGAATGACAGAAGGAACATGATAGAGCAAAGAGGCTAAACAGAAGATGGCATTGCTAAATAAATCTGCTACTAGGATCACAGGGATCAAGATGACACCAATATTCTTAGAAGTTTCTGCTGTTCCTTTTCCCCTTCACATCCTCCTTCATGCCTCAACCCACAATGTGCAACCCTGGGGGATCTCGTCACTCGCCCGCAACTCTTAGAGACTGAATGATGTAGTAGCCCCTGCTACTCCTGTGGGTGCAGGAAAAAAGGTTATCAACTGGAAAGTTATCTGTACCTTGGGAAATGAATCCTCATTTTGTACTTGAATCTGATCCCAATGGCGGGTATCAACTGGCCACCCAGCCAGGGGTTCCATTTGCAAGAAAAGCATCTGTAATGTCATTGCCTGGATGTTGTGCCTGCTGGTGTCCCAAAAGATTTCACAAGACAGGAAAGAGTAGCCTCACACACAGACTCCTCAGGCCAGAAGATGCTATGCTTCTGACCTTGTCCTCTTCATTTAGAATTTAGACATCAGAAATTCCCAGAATTAGAAAGCTCTGTTCACTTCTTAAGAATACCCAGAAGGTATGTTTAGTTCCATAAACACTGGCTTATTTCAATCTACCAGGAATGACACATGCAAAGATGCGTTTATGTGTGTGTGTAGGTATATGCACGTATACAGTAGTCCTCCCTTATCCGTGGGAGATACTTCCCAAGACCTCCAGTGACTGCCTGAACCTGTGGGTAGTACTGACCCAACTGCCGTGCATCGGAACACAATTCTGTTCACGTCTTCCACCCACAGATTTAATGCCTTTTCCATCGTAACTAAGCACTGATTACACACCATGGCTATAACTTTTGCAGTTTGAGGTGCGACAACAAAACTATCACATATTTCTTTTTCCTTTTTCACAATTTCACAGATAGAAGATTCCTTCTTACTGCAGATCTTAGCAACCTCACCGTAAGATTTTTTTTCTTTCCTTATTAAGTTGAGAACTTTCACTTTTTCACTTAAAGGAGGTACTTGATGGCTTTTTTTTTTCTTCTTTTTGGCATATCCAAATTGCCAGCATTGCTACTCTTGAGCTTTGCAGCCATTATTAAGTAAAATACAAGTTACTTGAACACAAACACTGGGATACCATGACAGTCGATCTGATCACCGAGATGGCTACTAAGTGACTCACGGGTGAGTGGCATAGACAGCTGGACAAAGGGATGAGTCACATCCCAAGTGGAACAGAGTGGGGTACTGCCAGTGAATCACTGTGTGATTTCATCACACTACTCAGGACAGCATGCAATTTAAAACTTATGAATTGTTTATATCTGGAATTTTTCATTTAATATTTTCAGACTGTCATTGACTGCCTGTAACTAAAACCATGGAAAGCAAAACCAAGGATGGGGGGACTACTGTATACTAAAATGCATTAAAAAATTAAAAATACAATGTCTGAAAGATAACAAAAACAATATCTTTCCCAGTATTGATCATGTATATCATATACATATATATCAGCACGTATGATGTAGAGTATTCTAGAATAATACTTTCTGACTTCTTATGAAGTTTTATATATAGATATAAAATTTCTTTAAGAATTATATCTTATATATAATTATGCTGTGATATCGTAACACAGCATTATTTTACTTCCAGAATATATATTTAACATTAGATTATGATGAATTGGATTTACTTTATTTCTTAATATAATTTAAATGAATCTGGAGAATCATCAGTATCTTCAGAAATATTCAGTCCACTCCATTCAAGATGCACAAATAAATCGCTTTTCCTTGGTGATTACAAAACCCAGAATAGAGAAACTTGAGCACAGAGACATTGTATTTTTTAGTCACTGCGAAGGAAGAAATTCATATGGTGCATGTCCGGTGTCATCTCCACCTCATCTAGCCATCCACATCGTGGCACATTTGTTCAACCTGGAGCGCTACCACTTGAGCCAGAGAGAGGAAGCGGAGGGACTTCTGGCTGCACTTTCCAAACTTGGCAACACCCCAAATGAGACCTACCTCAACCCCATCCGGACCTTCCACACAGTGAGTTCTTGCATGCTAAGTAGTTTCTCATCTGAAAAGTCCCTCCTTTTATGAGGAACACTATATTTCAAAAACTTTTAATAAAAGAGCAGGAGAGAAAAAGTTTCTGCCTAATGTTAACATGAATTTCACATTTTTTTAAAAAAGTTATTTTTTTCTATCATTAATGTTGCTGAGAGGTTATGAGCAAGAAGAAAAATATGTGCCATTTAATTAATTTATAGCAAATATATATACACATATATATGTTTGAGAAATGCAGTAACCTGTTAAAACACTAATATTTTAAAATTTTAAAAGCAGCTCTTGATTAGATATTTTTTCACTGATGTTAGGCTCATAAAGATGTGAAGTGCCATTTAAATTCAGGAAATACAAATTGGATGTCTTCATTTTCAATTTGCAAATTGTTTTCTGGATCTCTTTTCCAATTTCTCATACTTTGGCACATGTGCGAATAGCTGATTTGCCAAATCAGATACTGGGCAAAGCAGCTAATTTCATAATGAGACTTTCATGGCTAGTGACATCATTAATGCTAATTACCTGTATGCACAGAATGGCAGCAGCTGTGGAAACGAAAACCAAAAAGGTAGCCACAGCAATCCACATTAAGAGATGAAGACATTCCTCTTCCTTCATCCACCCTTACCTCTGTCTTTGTGATTGATCTCAACCCTTTTCCATGTACTAACATATCAGAGTATGTGTCCAGCATGTTGACCAGGTTAAAAAATACCTATATTGTCTAAGAAAAACCTTAAGGCGATACACTCCAGCAATGGAAATCTCTCCACCATTATTTGGCCCAGCTCGTAAGTGACCATTTTGCCCATGCAGCCTTATTTGAAGAACAAAAATTCAAAGTCTATTTTTGGGGAAATTCTTCCATGTCATGTCCCCTAATTATCCTAGGATGATTTTCAATATCAGGCCATTGCTCAAGTCGAGCCACCCTTTCTTAGCTGATGGCAATTAGCAGCACAAATTTCACAGTTATAAATCAAAACTACAGCTGCCCTCAGCATGTGGGAATGCCTTTGGTGTCACTCAGTTGAGTCACAGCATTTATCTATGCACTTACTAGGGTTAATGCTTTCCCCCAGTAAGGCTCTGGAAGATTCATTGCTATGCGCACCCAAGAATAAATCTCAACATTTTGAATATCTAATAAATAGTATTTACTATAGTTTTAAAGCAATTGAACAAGATAATTAAGCTACTCCCAATATAGTAATTTCAAAATTTTGAAGCAATATACTATATATGTACTAATTAAGCTCAGGAAACCCTCTAATTTGGGGTATTTAGAGAGAGATGAGTATCAATAACACAAAGTGTACATTATAGAGCATTTCCAGGATGCAGTGGGATTGCAGAGGATACATCGCAACTGAAACCAGTCTATAAATGTATTTTAAGAACAGAAACATGGGGATTTGCTTTAATAAGCAAAGAAGAATGATTTGAAATTAGCACACCATATGATGTAAATGGATTCCTAAAATGCCTGAGTGTACTTGAAAAAAAAAAAAAAAACCTTTTTTTAAATGTTTGAGACATACCCCTTTCAATTTTATTTCCACTCTTTGCTCTATGAAGAAAAAACAAACAATGAAGAAGTCCCTATCCAAATTACCTCCAGATCTCAAAGCAGCCAAAATTAATGAGGTTTCACTGACAAAAGATACAGTGTGAGTTTATTGAGCTCATGGCTGTCTCAAGGATAGTAACACAATGTATGAATATTAATGACTTGGCAAGAATATGGGAAACTCACAATAAAAAAATGCTTTCTGATTCATATGCTAAAAGGCTGCTTTACTGTCCCTTGTACTCACAGGTCAGAATTCTGGCCTTTTAGCAGCGTCCAGATAAGAATAGCTGTACCTTTATTGATCACCCAGGCTTTACCAAGCCTTATTCGAAGTCCCCAGGGACGGCGGTAAAAGAAATGCAAGTCATGGTCCTTCCAATTAAAAAGCAAGAGCAAGGAATAACTACCAGAGGGACAGAGTGTGCAGCTGCTTTATTAGGCATGCCCCAAAAGGCCTTCTCAAAAACCATGTTTATTAATGTTAATATGCAATTAAGAGTGGTGATCCACATATTTATTTTAAAAATTAAAAACTGAAAACTCAGATTTATTTTGC